CCCCATCTGCACAGTCTGCTTTACCGTTTCTCACGGTGTTGTCGCTTGCAGATTTCTTATACGTTTTCTTCTACCCTGAAGATGGGGGCGATACGTTTCTCCGAAACGTTGGTTAACACCACATATACACGGTGCCAGATCCCAGAATACTGCTTTCTTCATAGTCACTGCCGTGAAAGCCTCAAATCTTACAATATGTACTTGAATACTGAAAGTCTCTGTCTTCATGATAGAGCATCATAGCAGCATTTAACTAGCTCCAAGGAGCAGAGTCCTGTCTGAGAAGCTGATAGTTGCTCTGGTGTTCAGGAAATTCCCTGTCTTTAACGGAACATCAGTGCATTGTTCATAAGATTTCACTGCTGGAACCTATCCTGAGACAGTTGAATCTATTGCACCCCCTCCTTGTTTCTTTAAGATCCATTTCAATGCCATTTTCATGCAGGGAATCAATTAGATCACATCGTGGTACTTACATTAAAATCGCCAACAGTGAGAGATTTTCTCACTGTTAAATCAGTAGGCAGTGCATTTTAGCAAGTAGACTATATTAAGTATGACTACCAGTGCTTAGAGGAAAGAATAGGTTTTCACACATGTTCTGTACTTCCTGTCATTTTAAGTTAATTTGAGGTAGTGCTGTGGGTTTTTCCTTGCAACTGCATGTACCCCCAAATAGCATTGGCATTTCAAGTAGGTATTCTTTTGGCAGGGCTTGACAGTCAACGGGTTAAGATTAAGACCTTCAGGAATGTGATGCCATGTAGTCTGGTAGATGAGCACCAGGCTTCTGGAGGCGCCTGCTAACTTCATCTTCAGGTATCGATCTACCATACTTGATGGCATTCCATCCCAGTTCCTTATTTTCACTTTTGGTTCATTCAGTACATATCATGGTTGTAAAAGTATAAGCATTCGCTTTGGTTTATTCTTTGTACTTTTGAACATAAAACGCTGTGAATTTATTGACCAGCGAAGCAACTGTTAACTTTTTAAGATCTCTTCTTCATGGGATAGGTCATTAAATTTTGTTTAGTACATGGTTTTGTATGTTATGTCTTAAAGAACCAAGACATTAATTGGTAATGTATTCATAGTTTAATAAGTTAAGAGTCTAATGTCAATATATTAGGAGTGTTTCTGATAAGAGATATCAGTAGCACCCATCACTCTACATATCCTTACAGTTCTATGATATTATGCATTATATTCTGTGATGTCACTTAGATGGCAATAACAGTTTTGTGTGTGAGGTTTGGGGTTCTCATGGCAATGAGTATCATATTGACAGTCTTTTGAGTTGTAGTGCCTTATATTTTGGTAGAAAGGTACTGACATTCTAGAGACAGCAGGTACTACTGAAATATTGGTATTTATGTACCAAACTAACAGGATCAAGTCCTAGAGGTTTGTAATCTTGGATAATTTTGCATATTTGCTGGAAGTACCCTACTTAGGGTTTTACAAAGTATGGTTCACGAGTGTGGTTTATCTTATTCTGGTTACAGGTATCTGAAGTGTGAGACTGTTAGCTCTCATATCTTTCAGAATTTGTTTTATCTGTTTTATACTGGGAAACTGATTTATGGAAAATGTCTCTTTGTTCTCGTTCACATCCTCTGTGGCGCTTCTAGCAAAATCATTCTGTTCATTTATCTATATGCATGGAACACTTGAAGTGCATAAATTGATTTCCATTAAGTTTCATGCTTGGAAGTTTACTAAAATCTATCGGCACATTCCAATTTTGATTAAAATTGAACAATGGTAATGGATATTTTATGTGCATATCTGTTAATATCTCAAGCATAACTTGATAAATATTTATCAGTTGTAATAAAAGCTGTAAAGAAAAATGGTATACACATTTTGTCTCCAGTACAATCTGTCAGCAGGTTTTACAGTTTTCTAGATAATTAAATTCTCTGACTTTGTTATGTTATGCATCTATTCCAGACCTATATTGAGCAATCAACATTTCTGTTCCCAAACAGACACAAAGATCGCCACAGTCTCTTATTGGTGATAATAAAATGAAGTTTCAGCCTGAATTAATAGGTCTACATTTATATCAATATGTATTTAATTAAAATGTAATTTGACTTGCTCTGCAACTATTATTTTATTAAAACTTGAACTTTGTTTCTTTGAGGTTATTAAAAGGGAGAGAATGTGCCAGAAGTTTTATGCTGTGTGTACATTTCCTGACTCCTTTTCAGTGGAAATTAAGTGATAAAAATGAGTGAAGTTTTCTCTTATAATCTTCATTTCATGCATCCTGTTGTGTTACAATATGTAACTTTATTTTCCGTCACAACACAACAACTAAGGAGTATCTAGGTCAATACCCAGCTATGCCTCACTACATGTTTCGGCTGTTAACGGCCATCATCAGGTGAATACAAATCAACAAACGGATACTATTGAACTGTGGTAAAATTAGATACAATGACAAAAATAGTTAATTCTTTTGTGTAAAAATACAACGGTCATTTATATATAAAACTGAAGGTTATTATATAAAACAAGATTAAAACTGGTGTTTTGTAACATCTGATCAGTCGTATGTTTACTTTATACGTCTCGTGGACAAAATAAAAATATAAGATGGTATTGGAGGCCCATGACGTTGCAAGTTAATTAATCTGAATATATATATAAAAAAGGAATAGTATTAAATATGTTATTTGAATATTAAAATTGAAGCTGTAGTATATATAACATATGTACGTACAGAGTAGAGGTGCCTCGTCATACGAAAGAAAATGTCCGTACTGTATGAGAAGTAAACAATGACTGATTTGTTGA